GGTTTAATGAAGACATGCACCACCTGTTCCAATGCATTTTGCTTCTCCTTTGTTCTTATCTGTATAAATACAGCAACTGAAATAAACGAGGTGCGGCAGTCAGCAAGGACTCCGTCCTCCCGTCCCCATCTTTTTGTTGTCTCTTCATTTCTCAGCCTCGCCCCCTAACTCCAGGTGCCGCACATCGCCGGCTGGCTCTGGCATCTCATTGTGGTTTCGATTTGCATTTCTCTAATGATTAGGGATGTTGAGCATTTTTTAATATGTTTGCATGCCATTATTCTGTCTTCTTTGGAGAAGTTTCTGTTCATTTCCATTGCCCTTTTCTTGATGGGGTTGATTTTTTCTTGTTTATTCTTTTAAATTCTAGATAGATTCTTGTTATTAGGGCTTTATCTGAAGTGTAGAGAGCAAATATTTTCTCCCATTTTGTGGGTTGTCTGTTTGTTCTAATGATAGTTTCTTTGGCTGTGCAGAAACATTTTAATTTGATCAGATCCCATTTGTTTATTTTTGATGCTGCGGTGATTGCTTTGGGGGTCTTCCTCATAACTGCCTAGGGCAATGTTTGATAGGGTTTTCCCAACATCTTCTCCTAGGATTCTTAAGGTTTCATGCCTTAGTTTTAAATCTTTTATCCATCTTGATCTACAGAATTAATGCAATCCTCCTCAAAGTACCACCATCATTCCTTACAGAACTAGAAAAAATAATTCTTCACTTTGTATGGAACCAGAAAAAACCTCGTATAGCCAAAGCAATCTTAAGTAAAAAGAACAAACTGGGAGGCATCAGTCTTCCTGACTTCAAGCTGGATTAAAGGCAATAATAGTTAAATCAGCCTGGCACTGACACAAGAACAGAAGCATCAATATTTGAAATAGAACTGAGATTCCAGAGATGAAACCATTTGCATAGGGTAACCTAATCTTTGATAAAGCAGACAAAAATATAGAATGGGGAAAAGAATCTCTCTTCAATCAATGATGCTGAGAAAATTGGATAGCTACATGCAGAGGATTAAATCAGGATCCCTACCTCCCACCTCTCAAAAATGATTACATTTTAAAGGAAGTTTGCTAGTTTGGGCTCCGTGGCTCATGCCTGTAATCCTAGCACTCTGGGAGGCCAAGGTGGGAGGATTGCTTGAGCTCAGGAGTTCAAGACCAGCCTGAGCAAGAGCAAGACCACATCTCTACAAAAAATACAGTCATCCAGGCATGCTACACTGGCCTATAGTCTCAGCTATTCAGGAAGCTGAAGCCTGAGGATCAGTTGAGCCCATGAGTT